AGCCCGCCCCACCGAAAGCCCCAGTGGCGCCGCCCGCATGCGTCCCAGGAATGTATTATCTTGCACAAGGTGTCTAGAGCTCCGACCACTTTATTTCGGCACCTCACCCCCTCCATCACCCACACATTCCACCAGCCAGCGCACCACTCCGCCCCGACCCCTTTAATTTCGGCACGGCACACCCCTCCGCCCCGACCACTTTATTTCGGCACGGCACACCTCCTCCACGCCCTCTCCGCATCCCCCCCACACAACAGCCAGCGCGCCCCTCCGCCCCAACCCTTTTACTTCGGCACGGCACAGCCCCTCCGCATCCATCCCCACCCACCAGCCAGCGCGCCCCTCCGCCCCGACACCTTTTTTTCGGCACGGCACACCCCTCCGCCCCGACCCTTTTTTTTCGGCACGGCGCACCCCGTCCGCATCCCCCCACCCACCAGCCAGTGCGCCCCTCCGCCCCGACACTTTTTTATTTCGGCACGGCACACCCCTCCGCCCCGACCCCTTTATTTCGGCACGGCATACCCCTCCGCACCCCCCCACACACATCAGCAAGCGCCCCGACCCATTTTTATTTCGGCACGGTACACCCCTCCGCCCCGACCCCCTTTATGTCGGCACGGCACACCGCCTCCGCATCCCCCCGCCCACCAGCCAGCGCGCCCCTCCGCCCCGACCCTTTTATTTCGGCGCGCCCCCCCCCCCCCCCCCCCGCGCGCCCCCTCCGCCCCGACCCTGTATTTCGGCACGCGCGCTCCATCCGCATCCCCCCACCACCAGCCAGCGCGCCCTCTGCACCGACACCTTTTATTTCGGCACGGCACACCTCTCTGCCTCGACTTCTTTATTCGGCACGGCCACCGCCTCCGCACCCCCCCCGCCCGCCAGCCAACGCCCCCTCCCGCCCCGACCCTTTTGTTTCGGCGCGGCACACCCCGCCGCCCCGACCACTTTATTTCGGCGCGGCACACCCCCTCCGCGCCCCCCCACCCGCCAGCCAGCGCGCTTCCCCCGCCCCGGCCTTTTTATTTCGGCACGGCCCACCCCCGCCCCGACCCCTGTATTTCGGCACGGCGCACCCGTCCGCATCCCCCCCCCCGCCAGCCAGCGCGCCCCTCCGCCCCGATCTTTTTTTCGGCACGGCACGCCCCTCCGCCCCGACCTCTTTATTTCGGCACGGCACACCCCCTCCGCACCACCTCCGCCCTCCAGCCAGCGCGCCCCTCCGCCCCGACACCTGCATTTCGGCACGGCGCACCCCTCCGCCCCGACCACTTTATCTCGGCACGGCACACCCCCTCCGCATCACCTCCGCCCACCAGCCAGCGCGCCCCTCCGCCCCCACACATGCATTTCGGCACTGCGCACCATTCCGCCCCGACCCCTTCATTTCGGCACGGCGCATCCCCTCCGCACCCCCCCACCCACCAGCCAGTGCCCTCCTCTGCCCAGACCCTTTTATTTCGGCACGGTACACCCGTCCTCCCCGACCCCTTCATTTCGGCACGGCACACCCCCTCCGCATCCCCCCACCCACCAGCCAGCGCGCCCTTTCGCCCCGACATTTCGGCACGCCCCCCCTCCACACACACACACACACACACACACACACACACACACACACACACACACACACACACACACACACACACACACACACACACACACCACACACACACACACACACACACACACACTTTTGCCAGCCAGCGCGCCCCCTCCGCCCGCGACTTCTTTATTTCGGCACCACCCCCACCCCCTCCCCGCGCGCCCCGCGCGCCCCCTCCGCATCGCCCCCGCCCGCCAGCCAGCGCGCACCTCCGCCCCGACCTCTTTATTGCGCCCCCCCCCCCAACCACCCACTCACAAGCCAGCGCGCCCCTCCAGCCCGACACCTTTATTTCTGCACGGCGCGCCCCTCCGACCCGACTCCTGTATTCCCCTGCGCGGGGTGTCTAGAGCTCCGACCCATTTATTCCGGCACGGCACCCACTCCATCACCTACCCATTCCACCAGCCAGCGCGCCCCCATCACCCCCGCCCACCAACCAGCGCGCCCCTCCGCCCCGAACCTTTTAGCTCGGCACGGCACCCACCCCCATCCCACGCACACCCTCTGCACCTCCCCCACCCGCCAGCCAGCGCGCCCCCTTCCGCCCAGATTTTTTAATTTTGACACGCCCCCACCCCCCCCTCGCCCGCCAGGGCCACCATCCCCCCGCACGCCAGCCGACGCGCCCCCTCCGCCCCGACCCTTTTATTTCGACACGGCGCCCCCCCCCCCTTCCCCACCCACCTAGACTACCGCCCCCCCCCCCCAGCCAGCGCGCCCTCTCCGCCCCGACCCTATACTTTCGGCACGGCACCCCCCCCGCACCCGCGCGCCCCTTCCGCATCCCCCCTACCCGCCAGCCAGCGCGCCCCCTCTGCCAAGACCCTTTCATTTCGGCAAGGCGCCACGCCATCCCGCGCATCAGCCCTCCGCCCCGACCTTCTTATTTCGGCACGGCACCCCCCCCCCCGCCCCGCGCGCCCCCCCCGCGCCCCCCCGCCCGCCCGCCCACCAACCAGCGCGCCCCCTCCGCCTCGACCCTTCCATTTCGGCACGCCCCCCCCCCCACCCACCCACCCGCCACCCACCCACCCACCCGCACCGCCATCCTCCGTCCGCCAGCTAGCGCGCCCGCGCGCCTCCGTCCCGACCCTTTTTTTTCGGCACGGCGCAGAGCCCCCCATATCCCGCGCGCCCCCCCTCCGCATCCCCCCCATCTACAGCCAGCGCGCCCCTTCCGCCCCGGCCCGTATTATTTCGGCGCGGCACCCCCCCCGCCCCTCGCGCCCCCCCCCGCGCCCCTCCACCCGCCAGCCAGCGCGCCCCCTCCGCCCCGACTTTTTAATTTCGGCACGGCGCTCCCTCCCCCCCCCGCGCCCGCGCCACCATCTCCCCGCCCGCCAGCCAGCGCGCACCCTCCGCCCCGACCCTTTTATTTCGACACGCCCCCCACACCACATCCCCCCGCCAGCCAGCGCGACCCCTCCGCCCCTTTCATGTCGGCACGGCGCCCTCCTCCCCCCCCCCGCGCGCCCCCTCCGCACCCCCCCCGCCCGCCAGCCAGCGCGCCAGCCCGCCGGCCAGAGCGCCCCCTCGGCGCCGGCCCCGCCAGCCAGCGCACCCCCTCCGGCCCGACAGCTCGATTTTGGCACCGCGCCAGCCGCGCCAGCCAACGCGCCCTCTCCGCCCCCGACCTTTTCTTTTCGGCGCCGCACCTGGCCCCGGACCAAGCCTCCTCACCTGGCCCTGGCCCCAGCCCCCCTCGCCCCGAACCCTTTATTTTCGCTTGTCGTCGTCCCCCTGGTCCCGGCTCTCGACCCAGCCTTCGCCCTGGTCCTCGACCCAGACCCCCTCGTCGTCGCCACGCTGGTCCTGTCCTTGGACCCAGCGTCCTCCCCTGGCCCTGGCCCCGGCCCCCTTCTCCCTGGACCCTTCATTTTCGCTCGTCGTCGTGCCCCTGGCCTTGGCCTTGGACCCAGCCCCCCTCGCGCCGGACCCTTTATTCTCATTCGTCGTCGCCCCCCTGGTCCTGGTCCCAGCCTTGGGGCCAGCCTCCCTCCCTGACCTGGCCCTGGCCGCCCTTGCCCCCCTGGTCCTGGCGCTGGACCCCCTGGTCGTTGCCCTGGCCCCCCTCGCCCCGCTGGCCATGTCCCTGGGCCCAGCCCCCCCACTTGGCCGGGCCTCGAAAATCCATCGCGCCTCAGTTGCCAACAAAAACCTCATTCGAACAGATCCCAATCGGCAACCGCTGATTCAGCGCCGGGGCGCCCGGGCCCCACCTGCCCCTGCTCCTGCTCCTCCTCCTCCTCCTCCTCCTCCTCCTCCTCCTCCTCCTCCTCCTCCTCCTCATCCTCCTCCTCCTCCTCCTCCTCCTCCTGCTTCTTGTTTCCTCGATCCCCCCACCTGCGTCTCCTCCTCCTTCTATCCTCATATGTGCAAGAGCCAGAGCACGCGTGCCACTTGTTTCGGCACACCCTTCACACATTCCGCGGCCCCATAGGGAGCTCCACCGAAGGCCCCAGTGGCGCCGCCTGCATGCGTCCCAGCCGTTCATTTCGGCACACCCCTCACACGTTTGGTGGCCCCATAGGAAGTTCTACCGGAGGCCCAGTGGCCGCCCGCATGCGTCCCAGCCGCTCATTTCGGCACCCATTTTTCGTGGCCCCATAGGGAGCCCTACCGAAGGCCTCTGTAGCGCCGCCCGCATGCGTCCCAGGCATTAATTTCGGCACATCCCTCACACGCTTCGCGGCCCCATAGGGAGCTCCACCGAAGGCCCCAGTGGCACACCCCTCACACGCTCCGTGGCCCCATAGGAATTTCCATTGAAGGTCTCAGTGGCGATGCCCGGGCCCCATTGGGAGCTCCACCGAAGGCCCCAGTAGCTGCGTCCACATGCGTTCCGCGCTTGTTTTTGTACACCACTCACACGTTTCGTGGCCCCATAGGGAGCTCCACCGAAGGCCACAGCGCCTGGCCCGGTGTCGGCCAGCCAGCTCTTTTTCTTGTTCCGCGCAGTGGACGACCCGCGAGCGTCGCCTGGACCTCTGCGGGGCAACCGGAGCGCGTCGCGGGGACTCCGCGTTGCGCTCTGCCTAGAACCGCGGTCAACAGGGCGCGAGAACACAGAGGGGGATACATTTAAGAGCCCACCATCCCGCTCAGCTACCCCCCCGTGCACCCCTGCCTGCACTGCCCCTCGCCTCATTCTTCCTGCGGCGCGTTGCCTATGAGAGCAATTCGGGGTTTGCGCCCCCCTCCTTCTTTTCATCTCCCTCGCGGTACTCGCAGCTGCATATGGTTGGGTCCTTCGTCAGGCTTTTTTTTCCGGCTGTTTGCTCACCGGCTGCCGACCTCCAGAAGACAGGCTTGCCGCTCAGCACCGTCATTGGCATGCGGCGTGCTGATGAATATGTAGACGCAAACCCCTGCCCCCCACCCGGCTCAGTACCGATGTGGCTGCCCGCTGCTATCGCGGGTGTCGTCTTGCTAAGCTTCGCTGTGAAGCAACTCGGCATCGGCCAGTCTCGAGGTGGGCAGAGGGAGATGGGGAGAAGAGAGGGAAGGTGCATTTAGGATACCCATGAGTCAGGTTGTATTCAGCTCCGATTTCGCTCCTCCGACGACCACGTGCACCTTAGTAAAATTGGACATTGAAGGCGTGAAGATATGGGCGTTTGGATGTGCATACAGAAATCCGCGCGCGTGTCGATGCGAAATTGCATGTAAGTTACACGCACGTGTTCATGCACCTGCGTTTGTATGTATGTGCAGACGTAGTTCTGGACGATATCAACAGGTGCAGCCCGGGAAACGGAGAAGGCGAGAACGCCAAAATATTTCACAAACCATTGGAAAATCAATCAATTTTGCCTCTAGGGGCCCTCTTGGGAACCCTCTTGGAGGCGTCTTGTTGTGTCTTGGAGGCATATTGTGCCGTCTGGAGGCCATCTTGGGCATCTTGGAACGATCTTTCGGCGACTCGGGGCACTCTTAGACCTTAGACCCCTCTTGGCTCGCTTTTGGGCCCTCTATCCCCCCATGACGCGTTCGTCCCGGGCCCGAGGGGGGCGTCAAATTGCCGGTTTGGGGTACCTGGGGGGGGGGAGATTACATGGGTTGGAACACCTGTCGGGCCGGCGTTTTGGCATCCTGGACGCCCAGACCCGAGCCACCCCCTTGCCAGCGGTACAGCGTTCACCGCAACCGGCAAAAGGATCGAGCACGCCCTGTCGGCATAATCCACGCTACAGTGTGCAGTTTTCGTCGGCAAGCACTTGTGACACTCTAAGAGTACCTCTCGGCAACAATTCTGGAGGTCCTCTTGGAGCCCTCTTTGGATCGTCTTCGTGCCCTTTTTGGCAGTCTTCGGTGCATCTTTGGCCGTCGTGAAAAAATATTGAGGCCATCTTGGGTTCTCTTCGGGCCATGTTTGGCAGTCTTGGAGGTCATCTTGGCCAGGAGTTCATCTTGGGGCCGTCTTGGGGGGAGACCGCCGGTGGGTGCGTTTTCTGCGCGGGCGGCGCGTTGGGCCTGAGACTTGTGGGAACCCCTCGGGGCAAGAACACCCGGAAGTCTGGCACGCCAGGCACCCCTCTGATGCATCAAAATGGGGCGGCAGATCTTCCCGTAGGTCAAAGGCCTCGTAGATGCCTAAGGGGACCTCCTGGGATGCCGGAAGTCTCTTGCAGGCGGTTTTGGGTTGTCTCGGAGCCTTTTGGGACCTGATTTGGGCCTCTTAGGGCCAGTTTGTAGCTTTGGGGGGCTTCTTGGGGGCCTGCTGGTGGTCTCGGGGGTCTTCTTGAGGCGGACGGCTCGAAGTGTCAGTTCGAGTTCCCCCTATTGAACCCCTCTTGGGGCCCTCTTGGGCTGTCTTGAGTGCTTCTTGGGCCGTCTTGGAGCCTTCTTGCACGGTCTCCGGGCGATCTTGGAGGCTTATTGGGCCGTCTTGAAGCGTCGAAGACCTGAAAAGGCGAAGACGTGAACAACATACGGGGAATCAATGAAGGTGGCATCTTGAGGTCCATTTAGGGGTGTTCATGGGGCATTATTCGAGCGTCTTGGGGGGTTCTTCAGCAGTGCTGGGGCCATCTTGGGCGTCTTAGAGCGATATCTCGGCAACTTGGGGTCCTCTTGGGCCGTCTTTGTTGCCTACTGGGGCCCTCTTGGCCCATTTGGGGGCCCTGCTGCCTCTGGAAAAATCGCGCGCCAGCACGCGGGAAGCCCCAAGGGCGCCCAGGACTCGGGGGCTGCGCGCCCTTTAAAGAGCATGCCAGTATGACTCAACACGGAGGACTCCAAGGGACCTAAGGACATTCCGCTTCGTGCTTCGGGGGGTGGATCAACAAGGATAAGGATGGATGATGGAGGAAGGATGAGGCGGACGAAGAGTGAGTTTGAGGAGGATGTGGAGATGGGCGATGGGGTGCTTAATGGGGGGAGGGGGAGGGGGGATACTGATCATGGCGATCGTGATTGCAATCGGAGGTGAGGGGGTGAGATCGAAGTGGAACGGAGAGCCCCCCTACCGGGAAGTCGGTTTCGGTTTCGTGTTCGTGCGTGCCGTGCGTGCGGGCGAGGCGAAGTTGCGTGGGCGGACGAGAAGAAAGTCTCCTCCGGCTGAGGCGCGGCCAGACCAAATGTTTCCTCTCCGGGGGCCGGTGGCCCGCGGTGTCCCGCCGGTGTCCCGCCTCCGGCTGGACGCGGCCGGACCAAATGTTTCTTTTCCGGGGGCCAGTGGCCCACGGTGTCCCGCCCGTGTCCCGCCGGTGTCCCGTCGGTGTCCCGATGATGATGTCGATGATGTTGGTGATGATGATGATGATGATGATGATGATGATGATGGTGATGGTGGTGATGATGGTGTCCCGAGGATGATGATGATGATGATGATGATGATGATGATGATGGTGATGATGATGATGATGATGATGATGATGATGATGATGATGATGATGATGATGATTTGATGATCATGATGATTCGATGATCATGATGATGGCCATTGTGGTGATGATGATGGTGCCCCGATGCTGATGATGATGATGATGATGATGATGTTGACGATGTTTATGATGATTATGATGGCCATGGTGATGATGATGGTGCCCCGATGCTGATGTTGCAGGTGCTGATGATGGTGTCCCGATGATGATGATGATGATGATGATGATGAGATGATGACGTTGATGATCCGGATGATGTTGTTGATGGTGATGTGATGATGATGATGTTGGTGATGATGAAGATGGTGGTGATGGTGTCCCGATGATGATGATGGTGATGATGACGTTGATGATGATGGGGTTGATGATGTTGATGGTGATGGTGATGGTGGCCCTACGATGATGATGTTGATGATGTTGATGATGACGATGACGGTGTCCCGATGATGGTGATGTTGATGATGAGGATGATGATGTTGATGATGATGGTGATTTTGATGATGGTGGCCCGAAGATGATGAGAATAGTTGATGTTGATAGTGGTGATGGTGTCCCGATGATGATGATGATGATGGTGATGATGATGGTGACGATGATGATGGTGTCCCGATGATGATGTTGATGATGATGTTGCTGATGATTATTATGCTGATGGTGTCTCGATGATGATGATGATGTCGATGATGTTGTTCATGATGATGTTGAGATGATGACGATGATGGTGGTGTTCCGATGCTGATGATGCTGATGATGATGGTGCCCCGGAGATGGTTATGTTGATGATGATGGTGACGATGATGGTGTCCCGATGATGATGATGGTGATGATGATGTTTGATGGTGATGGTGATGAGGTGATGATGACCATGGTGTCCCGATGATGATGATGTTGATGACGTTGATGACGATGGTGTTGATGATGATGATGACGCTGGTTGTGAGATCGATTGTGATATCGATCGTGAGTTTGATAGTGAGACCGAATGTGAGATCGATTTTGAGATCGATAGTGATGGTGAGCTCGAATGTGGGATCGATAGTCAGATCGATTGTGAGATTGATTGAGTGAAATAGATCGAGTGGGATCGATTGTGAGATCGACCGGATGAGGTCGATCGAACGAGACCAATAGTGAGATCGATGGTGGGATCGATAGCGAGACCGATCGAGTGAGACGTTGGTTCCTCCCCCCCCCCTGAACCCCCTTTATCACCCGAAGGGTGGTCGTATAGGTACCCGTAATGGTGATCATAGGAGTAAGAGTCAGAGGAGACAGGGAGCAGGGTGGGGGCATGATAATGATGGTGGTGATGGCAGGCATGATTATGTCATATTAGACGGTCGTCACGATGATGATGGTAACGATACCAAGGAGGCCATCAGGAGGTAGGGAAAATGGGGACGAAGAGGACAGGGTGGCGGCGCAGCATGTGGTAATGCTACTGTTGGTGAGAATGGTCGTTGAGATGATGCTGGTGATGATGACGGATGCACGATAGGTCGATTGGGAAACGATGGAAGAGCAGGCGAAGGTGGACGAGGACGGCGAAGAAGAAATATGAGACAACGGCGTGCGCGCTTGCAACCTGCAGCCACGGCTGCAGCGGACACCAGACCTTGATAGGTTCCACTTGTCCTTCCTTCCGCCCACGGGGGCGAAAGCATCCTGTCACTAGCAGCAGTAAGCTTGAGCAGGGGCAGCAGCAGCAGCAGCAGCAGCAGCAGCAGCAGGAGTAGTAGTAGTAGTAGTAGTAGTAGTAGTAGTAGTAGTAGTAGTAGTAGTAGTAGTAGTAGTAGTAGTAGTAGTAGTATTAGTAGTAGTAGTAGTAGTGGTAGTAGTAGTAGTAATAGTAGTGGTAGTAGTAGCAGTAGTAGTAGTAGTAGCCGTAGTAGTAGCAGTAGTAGTAGTAGTAGCAGTAATAGTCGTAGGAGTAGTCGTGGTGGCAGTAGTGGTAGTGGTTTCAGGGGCTGGGAGGGTGTGTGGTGGCCTGTGTCTTGTTGCGCAAACTCTTTTCGTATGTGTAACTATGCCCTTGGTGTACATGCACGTGGCCATCGACGACTAACGATGATGATGGTGCTAGGAAACCAGGATGCTAGGGATGCCTGGATGCCAGCATGGCAAGATCTGTGAGGTGCATGTGCGGGAGATGCGTGACCCATGGGACCTGTAGAATTGTTGGGGCCTGCGGCGCCTGTAAAACATGTGGGGTGTGTGCGACCCGTGGGAGCTGTGGGACCACTGCCACTTGTGGGGCCTCTGGGGCGCATGGGATTTGTGAGTCATGTAGGACCTGTACGACCTCTGGGACTTGTGTGGCCTGTGAGGCTTGCGGGGCCTGTGCGACCTTTGGGGCGTGTGCGGCTTGTGGGGCATGTGGGACCTGTGAGATTATTTCCGATTTGCGGGACGGACACTTGGATGCCAGGGACACCAGAGTTGCCAGTGGTGCCAGGGCGCCCAACTGCCAATATGTGAATGCAAAATCAACCCCGCGCGCGAAGATCACGAAGTGGCCTACAGATGGCTCCAGACAGTCAAAAGCAATTTCAGAGGTTGAGGTCTGGTGGCGCGAACAGCTCGAACT